CCCATCCCAAAGAAGCAAATTAAAAAAAAATAATTCAAAAAAAATAAGACGGCCTCGAAGATCAAGAAGCAGGAAAAAAAAAAAAGAAAAGTTAAAATATAAATTTCTTCTTCAAAAGTTCAAAAAGTTCAATGTGGAGTTCCCAGAGTTCCTGCTCTGAACCCAGCGTTCCATATGTTCCCAGTAGAAAGTACACATTGTTTCAGCTCGGCACAGGTTTGAAAAAGATCTGTTTGAAGGAGCAACAAAACTGCGGCTCCATGTGTCACAGTCCATATGGTGCTTCAACACTGTTGGTCTCCTGTGGCCACACTTCCCACGATGCATCTGTGGGGCTGAGACTTCGAGAGAGCTGATAGGCTGATAGGACCGCGGTATCGACGAGTTTTTCGCCTGGTGAGAGATGGGCCCGGCGCAGCCGCGGACTCCGTCCCAACAGAACACACACTGACTCAGTGTCTTCAGAGTATTCCGAGTACTTTCTACTTGTTATACTCACCCACTGAGTCTGAAGTACGCCGTATGTGTGTGTGTGTGTGTAATGGAAGACATTTTAATTTTCCCTCAACTTTATGCAGATGATGTTCGGTTGTTTTTTTGATGATTTCGAGGGGTTTGTTAGTGTCGGGTTTGGAATTTTTCCTCCTGTACTTTCCTGCCTGTGTCCATGTAGAAAAAACCAGAGCTTAGCACCGATCGATCCTATTGAATGTGAGTTCTTTCACCAGCAGGGATCAATATTCTCTGTTTCATGTGTCTAAGCAGTGCACACACACACACACACACACACAGGTCCACCCCTTCAGAGACGACCTATTGGTCTATCGGCCGACCTGAACAGCGGGGGATCCAGGAGTTCATTGTGACAGGTTTGCCGTGGTTAAAGGTCGTCTGCTGCGGCGTTCACAACATTCACAACATTCACAACATCAACTGTTCACCACAAACCATTAACCTCACATCAACATCGTTACTTCACCACAAAATGTTGACATTTTACTGACTAATTAACGATTCATTCACCACAAAATGTTGACATTTTACTGATTAATTAACGATTCATTAATTATAGGAAACAAAACAACTTGTTGTTCTTTAGTTTCTGACGCACAGGTAACACCGACTGACCTCCTGCCCAGTAGGTGGCGATAATGAACATAAAGGTAATTGAACGGCAGTGTAAAAGAAAATGCCCAAGATGCACTGAGTGAAATCATAGAAGAAGAATTGAGACAGCGTTTGGTGATCAGTGATCAGTTTGTTGGGAGTTACCGACGGCTACGTCAGTCCGGTCTACGTCAGTCTACGAGTGTGGACACAAACCCACCTGGTCTGGAGAACTCGTCGGCCTCGTGGTGAACCAGGTCGGTCACGCAGCCTCCGTAGTGAAGCCTCTGCTCGTGGTCGAAGGCCTTCAGCGTCTC